GGAAGGAAGGAAAACTGGAAGCAAGCTGTGGTGACACAGTAGTTAAAATGCAGTGTTGCAGGCTGACTCTGCCCACTGCCAGCAGTTTGATCCTGACTGGCTCAGGGTTGACTCAGCCTTCTGTCCTTCCGAGGTCAGTAAAATGAGGACCCAGATTGTTGGGGGCAAATAGGCTGGCTCTGTAAACCGCTCAGAGAGGGCTGTAAAACGCCCTGTGGAGCGGTATATAAGTCTAAGTGCTATTGCTATTGCTAAGTGAGTTTTGCCCCATTTTACGTCCTTTCTTGCCACAGCTGTTAAGTGAATCCCGGCAATTGTTAAGTTAGCAACATGGTTGTTAAGTGAATCCGGCTTCCCCATTGACTTTGCTTGTCAGAAGGTCGCAAAAGGGGATCACGTGACCCCGGGACACTGCGACCGTCATAAATATGAGTCATACTCCTTGCAGAAAGCTGGTCATTTGCCTTCTTTTGGAGAGTCGTTGAGGCCACTTGGAAGTTTCTCTGTGTCCTCTCTCCAAAAGGAGGCAAATGACCAGCTGTCTGCAAGGAGTATAAATCTTTCCATTCCCCACCATCCAGTCAGAGCTGAAGAAGCTTCTGGGATGAGAAGCGAAACGTCTTCAAAGAAAAACAAGAAAGTCCAGTTGCCTCCTGAAAAAGCACCTTTGGGACAACCATGACCTGGATGATTGAGAATCTCCACAGACAAGATGCTAACTTGTTTGAAACCTTGTTTGTGGAAGAGGTGTTCTTTTCCTACTTATCCGACATCCTGGTCTTGTTTTAGGCCTATCTAAACTTTCGCCGGAAGAGCACCATGGGCTGGAGCATTGGCAACGTCCTGCTGGACTTCACTGGAGGTGCCTTCAGTCTCATGCAGATGTTCCTGCAATCCTACAACAACGGTAAGAGCGGCCCGTCGAGTCAGACAAGTCAGAAAAGGTGATTTCGGGTAGTCCTCGACTTACACCCACAATTGAGCCCAGAGTTCTGCTGCTAAGTGAGGCAGCTGTTAAGTTTGTTTTGCCCCCATTTTACAACCTTTCTTAAATGAATCACTGTGGTTAAGTGAATCATGCGGTCGTTAAGCGAATCCGGCTTCCCCCATTGACTTTGTCAGAAGGTCACAAAAAGGGATCACATGACCCCAGGACACTGCAATGGTCATAAGTGAGAAAACCGGTCATAAGTCACTTTTTTTCAGTGCAGTTGTAACTTTGAACAATCGCTAAAGAAATGGTTGTAAGTCAAGGACTGCTTATACTTTGTGGGTCTAGTATGTATCCCTCAGGAGCTATCCACAATCCCTCTTCACTGCATAGCTAAAGGTAATCCTTAACTTATGATCTCAATCAGGACTAGAAATTGCATTACTAAGCAAGGCGTGCCCAAGTTTATGACTTTTTTTGCCACTGTTGCTAAGCAGATCACTGCAGCCATTAAGTGAATCACATGGTCTTTAAGCAAATCTGGCTTTTCCTCCATTGACTTTGTCGTATGCCGACTGGGGTCGCAAATGGGGATCACGTGACACCACAACTATCAGAAATACATGTCAGTTGCCGAACAACTGACTTTTGAACCTGTGTCTGGGGGAGGCAGCGGCGGTTGTAAGTGTGACGACCAGTTGTAGGTCACTTTTTTCAGTGCTTTTATAGCCTAACAACCACCTTGCTTAACCATGAAAATTCTGGTCTCAATTGCGATTGTAAGTTGAGGACCATCTGCACCATTCGGTGATGGATCAATCTTGCTTGTAAATTCCTCAGGAAAGCAGTAGAAATTTGTTAAGATATTTAACAATTTAGTAGTTGGAGCAGTGGGGCTGTGCAGTGACCACAGTTGTGGTTGTTTGGAGAAGGCTGGCGCCTACATGAGGCAATCTGCACTGTGATTGGTTGCTGTGGAGGGGGAGGGGGAGTTTCCTTTTCCCGCCTTTTTCTTCTGTGTGCTCTGTGATTTACCTCACGATGCTCCTGTTTGCCTGACTATCTAGTTTGCTGTATATGTAGATGTGAAACATATTTATTTATATAAAGCTACAAGTTTGTGTCAGTGTCTCTAACTAGATTTGGACACCGGCTGAGCAATTCCCTGACAGTTTAGACTTTAGAGACTGGAGAGGGTCCCTTCCGAAAGTATGGTGGGAGACATATCCCTGAGGCAAAGAGATGCACTTATGTTTATCCATTTTGAAAAGGAGAGAAAAACGATGGATACACATTCATAGCTAATAATCTAATAGATCTCAAGTTACTTCCTATCCTTCTGTTATCAACAGAGAACAACTGTCTTAGTGAACTTAGTTAGCTTAACATTTGCATCTTGTAGTTGATTGGTTGGAGAGTGCTGGCTCCTGCGTGAGGTAATTTGTGCTGTGATTGGTTGCTGTGGGTGTGGAGGGGGATTTCCCTTTTTCCCGTCTTTTTCTTCTGCACGCCCTTTTGTGCTCTGATTTACCTCATGATGCTCCTCCTGTGCTGATTTACCTCACAATGCCCGACTATTTAGTTTTCTGTACATGCAGGTGTAAAATATAAAATACAATATAAATATATAATATATAATATAAAATATAAAACTACAAGTTCATGTCAGCATCTCTCACTTCATTTGGACACCTGCTGAGCAATTCCCCATACAAAATTGTACAGACTTTTCAGGAAAATGCCTAAAATTTTCATTGCACTGTGAATTATAAATAGGGGGAAAATCTATTTATGCTTTTCCAAGTATTTATTAACCTCCCTCGGTCAACTCGACCGCTTCTTGTAAGCTCTCATTGTCTCTTTCTTCTTCAGACGCATGGAAGCTGATTTTTGGAGACCCCACCAAGTTTGGCCTCGGCCTCTTCTCCATCATCTTCGACATTGTCTTTATGATCCAACATTACTGCTTGTATCGCACCCCCATTTACGAGCAGTTTGAGTAGCTCAGTAGCCTGTCCCGAGGGTGCCCGCTGCATCGGGAAGCTTTATTCCAAAGAAAACCAAGACTGGCAACTCGAGTTTCCACACCACCTTAAATTGCACCAAAACTCCTTTTCCACTTTGTGCCTTCGCGTCTTGCAATCCGGCAGTGCGGCCTTGCCAACGTCATCTTCCCCTGAATTCCTCAGGTGTGAAGTCCTCAAAAAAGCTTCCGGGGAAGTCATGGTCCGCAAAAGAAGAATAAATGCTCCTGTTTTGCCATCCAATTTCTTAACAGAGTTGCGACAGGAACCCTACATTGAAGGCATCTTAGCCAGCAAGAACCTGCTTTAGGAGAAGGCTGGTTACGAGGAAGGGAAAAACAGTTGTCATCTTTAAATCAGTTAAACCTGAAGGACATCTCGTGTGACTTCAGGACCCCCGGTGTCCCCTTTTCTCTTGAACGGGGGTGGGGGGTGGGGGAGAAATGGATGATGTGGGACCACCTCGAAAAGCTTTACGTTGGTGTCAAAGAACAGCGTGCTGAAGAACCTCTATGTGAAACGGTTGAATTCAGGGATTGATATTATTAAAGATTGTGTAACAGCTCCTTGATACGTGGTTGATTGATGAAGGCTCCTTTCGAAAGGAGAGGTGGTCTGGTTGTGGTTTAAGGGGACCAGGAAAAGCCGAGTGAGATTGTGGGTCCCTCCGGAAGGGAATCGCAGAGCCCCGTCTGTAACCATGATAAACCCTGTAGTTGGGTTTCAGTAAGACCCTCTTTACCTAACCGGGACTGAAGACACAGGGATCTGCTCAGAAGGAGGGTGTTGCAATTTGTGGGGTCCTTACTGATCTCTGAGCTGGGTGGTTTTCTTGCAGACGTTTCATGACCCAACTAGGTAACATCATCAGTGCTAGAAGGGGGCGGAGATTTGCTGTTTATAGATTTGCCCGGTCACTGTTGGTGAGAATGTTCTTAGTGGTTTCTTGATTAAGCTGTTGGATAGATGGCGGAGGAGGAGGACAGACATGGATGGATAGATGGATGATGGGTGGGTGGATGGATGGATGGATGGATGGACGAGGGATGGATGATGGATGGATGGATAAGAGGGAGGTCCTTGATGCTCTCTGAGCTTGATTGTTTTCTTGCAGACGTTTTATGACCCAACTAGGTAACATCATCAGTGATAGAAGGGGCCTAGAAGGTTTGCTGTTTATAGGTTTCCCCTGTTGGTGAGAATGTTCTTAGTGGTTCCTTGATTAGGCTGTTGGATAGATGGAGGAGGAGGAGGAAGAGGAGGACAGACATGGATGGATGATGGATGGATGGATGGATGGATGGATGAGGGATGGGTGGATGGATGGATGAGGGATGGATGGGTGGATGATGGATGGATGGATGGATGGATAAGAGGGAGGTCCTTGATGCTCTCTGAGCTTGGTTGTTTTCTTGCAAATGTTTCACTACCCAAATAAACGACATCATCAGTGCTAGAAGGGAAGGACGAGGGGGGACATGATAGCAGTCTTCCAGTATCTCAGGGGCTGCCCCAAAGAAGAGGGAAGCTATTCTCCAAAGCACCTGAAGGCAGGACAAGAACCAACGGATGGAAACCAATCAAGGAGAGAAGCAACCTAGAACTAAGGAGAAACTTCCTGACCGTTAGAACAATTAACCAGTGGAACAACCTGCCTCCAGAAGCGGTGAATGCTCCAACACTGGAAGTTTTTAAGAAGAGACTGGGCAGCCGTTTGTCTGAAATGGTATAGGGTTTCTTGCCTGAGCAGGGGGTTGGACTAGATGACCTCTAAGGTCCCTTCCAACTTTATTATATTATTATTATTGTTATTATTATTATTATTATTATTATTATTATTATTATTATTATTATTAACAAATGGTTGTAAGTCAAGAACTATTTGTATCTCTACAATGTTTCCACAGAATAAGCCATTTTTCATTAATCTTGGGCATATATGCAATTTTTCTATTGGCTCCAGGCTTCTAGCTTTGTTATTATTATTATTATTTTAAAAAAGGAAGAGACACTCGAGATCAGAAGTCCAGCTTGATTTATTTTGTGTAAAACAATCCACAGCAGCAAGTTGGCAGCTTTAACCTCCGAACTAAACTGATGTGATCAGGCGGAAGAAAAAATAACAAACCACAAGGCTTTGTCGAAAAAAGGTCATCCTTCCCCACCGCCATTTCCGCTCGGAAAGGACAAACCACAGGGATTAAGAAATGGGTAAGAAGAGTGGTGAGTCTTGTGACACGTCTTCCTCACAAGACAGGCCAAGATTTAAGGGCCCGGACGTTAAGCCGGCGCACGAGTCAAAACAAGCAGTAATATACTGAAATAAGTTAGTGATACAAATGTTGGAGGGGACGTTATTTACAAGACGTACAAAAGGAGAAATTGGCACAACAGTCGTGATCAGAGGCGAACTTTGGAAAAGTCGAGAGACGCACTCGAGGGTGGAAACCACGGCCTTCAGACAGAACGGGGGCTCAAGGACGTCTTGTCGAGCGCGGACGTTGCTAGCGTCAGCCCGTTTCTGACCGATGATGGTTAACCAGAATTCTGGCTGAGCAAAGGGCCAGGCAAATGAAGGCTTAAGGCCACCGAAATTGTTTGCCTTCATTGGAGGACTTGCCAAGCCCTTCTGGAAAGCGGAACCGATTCCAAACGCCCGTCTATCGCGGCTTCTCGGCCTTCCTCTAAGGAGCTGAAGACACAAGCCAACGGTTGGGTGCCTCTGTAAACGCAGCCCCGGGGGCAGATTCTAGATTTTTCGGCATTAAAAAACTTTGGTTTAGAGAAGCAGGATCGCAAGGAGCACCCTAGGCGGCCATCTTGTCTATCAAAATGGCCACCCGACAAAAACGGAGTTTTAAGAACGGACTCGTCCACTGGAGAATTTCTGGGAAAAAAAGCCCAGCTCTCCCTATCGGGCAGAAGGTGCTCGCCGTGGATCAGAAGCAGGTTCTCCCCTAGTTGCGGTTTGATGCCCACGGTCTCCGATCCAGGTGGGCATCAAACTGCCCCCTCTGTGGGGACCCCCGGATGGACGAGAGCCATCTTTGCATAGGTGTGTTGGGAGGTGTCTTCTTTTTTTTTTTTTAAAGGTTCTCGGGTCAACAGAGCTGTGGTCCACCCTTCAACATCTCTCCACCCTGTCCTGAAGACCGTCGCTCGCCCATCCCACCCACCCCTCGCTCAGTGGCACGGCTGGGACAGCATCGACTGCTGGACCGCTTTCTGCAGAGAGTGCCTGGTCACCAGGAGCCGGACCACTTCCTCGTTCCGTTTGGTCAGCCGCTTGCGAGCTTGGTCGTGAGTCACCATGGTCATATCCCAGCCGTTCACCTGCAAGAATTCAGAATGGTTTTATGATAAGCATCAAGATCAAATGACCTCTGGGCCACCTCTGGCTCTTTGGCTGCCCCTGTCTGGCCTGCGTGGATTGATTTTATTTTGGAAATGACTAAAAAAGATGTTGAGAGTCTAGAAAGAGTGCAGAAAAGAGCAACAAAGAGGATTAGTGGGCTGGAGGCTAAAAGAGGAGGAGGAGGAGGAGAAGGAGGAGGAGAAGGAGAAGAAGAAGAAGAGGAAGAAGAAGAAGAAGAAGAAGAAGAAGAAGAAGAAGAAGAAGAAGAAGAAGAAGAAGAAGAAGAAGAAGAAGAAGAAGAAGAAGAAGAAGAAGAAGAAGAAGAAGAAGAAGAAGAAAGAAGAAAGAAGAAATAAGTAGTAGTAGTAGTAGTAGTAGTAGTAAAAAAAAAGCTAGAAGGGACCTTGGAGGTCTTCTAGTCTAGCCCCCTGCTCAAGCAGGAGGACCTATATCGTTGCAGACAGGTTGATTGTCCAGTCTCTTTTTAAGAAGAGACTGGACTGCCATTTGTCTGAAATGGGATAGGGTTTCCTGCCTGAGCAGAGGGTTGGATTAGATCAAGGCTTTTCAACCTGTGGTACGGGTACCACCTGTGGTACATTGGCACTTGGCAGGTGGTACACGACCATCCTAGAAAAATGGTAACGGGGGAGGGGAATGAGCTGAACCGGTGGCAGCACCGCACAAGCCTGAGTGAGAGACGGCTGGAGCTGCAGGGCTGTCAGGGCTCAGCGGAAGCGCCAGGATCAGNGTAACTTCGAACAGTCACTAAGCGAACTGTTGTAAGACGAGGACTACCTGTACTTTATCCCTTTTTTGCTTTTTTTTTTTTTTTGGTCATCAAGTTTTTGACACCTTGCTAGATGACTGGTGGTACTCGGATGTTGCCCTATCCTAAAAGTGGTACAATGGGTGAAAAGGTTGAAAAGCCCTGGACTAGATGACCTCCAAGGTCCCTTCCAACTTTATTATTATTATTAAACCCTTTCTGGTTTTGGGAGTCTTCTTTGCAAGAAGGTGAGCAAAACACAATTACCAAAAGATAAGTTATTTATTATTATTATTATTAAATTCATTTGCCACCCATCTCATTTCAAAGTGGCTCCAAATTCAATGAATTCAATTCATATAAATTGAAGCCCTACATTAGTCTATAACCCCTTCACCACGGCTCACAAAAGGTGATTTATTTAATTAAAAACGTGGGAACAGGCACTGCGGCTCCTCCTGATTTTTGCAACATCGTGAAGAACCCTTCTTCCGAAAAAGATCATAAGGGGAACAAACTATGTTAAAATATAATTTAAATCCTGCATCAGCCTAGCCACGTCACCGAATTCCGGGGGAGCGAGCTGCAGTTCACAAAAGCCAACAGCTTTTCACAAAATGGGTTGGTTCTATATATATATATATGCAGGTCTTGGCGTATTTGGGTCTTTTCCTTTGAGAGTATCTCAATCTTACACGGGAAAAGACCCGAATACGTCAAGACCTGCATACCTGTACCCGTGAAAATCTACGAAAACATATATATATATTCAGATTTGTTTTTTGCTGACAAGAGTTAAAGATTTAAGTGTATATATATATATATATATATATATATATATATATATATTCCAGAGGAAGCTCTATCAAACTCAAAGATCAGGAGAAGTCCGATATATTATTTTATATATACATATACATACACACACACATACATATATACACATATATACACATATACATATACATACATACATACATACATACATGAAATAACTTTTCAAAGAACTTTGAGGCTTAATTACCTTAAAGAATCCTTTAATGGGTTACATAATCCGGCACGAACGAAGGAAAGCCAAAGACTGAAACACACACCCCCCATCCTAGCTCTCGCGACAAGCACAACTCCCTCCCTCCTTTCACAGTCATCAATCATATGCTCCAATTAAGCAGAGGTGTGAATCTTCTTCTCGTCTCATCTCTGTTATTACAGACTGCTGCTGCTTTGACCTTGGCTGAGCTATGCTAAGATAATGTAGTTATTCACAGGCATTCCTCCCCCCTCATCTGGCCCGCAATGCCTGCTTTTGCTCTTGAAGCAATATGTAGGCTAAATAAGATATGTTTGCTTCTTCACATATGTCAAGCAATAACATCCAATGTTAGCAGACTTGACAATATGTATATACTAGCTGTACCCGGCCACGCATTGCTGTGGCTCAGTCTGGTTAAATGGAAAAGAAGTGTGTTGCTTTGACGTCCAACAGATGGCGCTGTTTTTCAAAAAAAGCATGTTTTTACCTGTCACAGGTGTGACATCTATATAATAGTAGGTATATAAAAACACGCGCGTATTCGAATGCAACGTTGTGTCAAAATTTCAAAGCAATCGGTGAAGAACTTTCGAAGATTTAAGATTTTGAACAAACGAACATTTACATTTTTATTTATATATAGAATTTGGATTGCTAACAAAGAATTAAGGGAGAATGGAATAGCTATTTCGAACTTTTTAGCTCTCATCAGCCAAACATACCCTTCTGTGATTCAAACCTGGGCTGCCTGCACGTTAAGCAGCTGTGTTAACCTCTAGGCCACAGGCTCTTTCTCACTTTGTCAGCTGTGTCAGGGAGGGAAGACACAGGGGAGGAGAATTACCTTGAGTGCTTTTTTTTGATGCACCCTGTCGACCCAAATATGGGAGAAAGAAATCTTTTGCCTGTATCAGTTCAAATTAGAGCCATCCACAGGCAGCAGTCGCAACTGCAACATCATTTATATATATATATATATATATATATATACAGTATTTTTAAAAAAATTGGATTGCTAACAAAGAATTAACGGATATGTATATATAATGTATATGTATATATAAAATAATTAAGGGATATGTATATATAATGTATAAGTATATATATCGGACTTCTCCTGATCTTTGAGCTTGATGGAGCTTCCTCTGGAATAATAATAAATCTCCACCAATTTGGCTTTAAAGACACTGGGGGGGGGGAGCAGGGCAAAGCGTCCAGCTGGTCCTTAAAACAGAACAGAATTTTACCTGCATGATTTTGTCGCCGACTTGAAGCCCCGCCATTTCTGCCGGTCCACCTTCTGTCACGCGAGTGACATATATGCCCTGGAGGGTGGGGGAAACAGGAGGGGAGGGGTCACTGCCTGGATGATCTCTCATGAAACTGTTCCCCCCCCCCTCCCCAGGTTGCTTAATGAGAGTCTGTTGGCCTTTTTCTCCAGTCTCCTCCTCCTCCTCCCCTTCTACCACAGATGACATAACCTAGTTGGGTCATGGAACCTCTGCAAGGAAACTATACAGCTCAGAGAGCACCAAGGCCCCCACAGTCCTCCTTCTGCTCCTCCTGCTTCCCTTCCTTCCTTTCTCCTCGCAAACCCCCCTCTCTTCTAGCACTGATGATGCTACCTAATTGGGTCATGAAACGTCTGCAGGAAAATCACCCAGCTCAGAGAGCACCAAGGATCCCCACAGTCCTCCTCCTTCTCCTCCCTTTTAGCACTGATGATGTTACCTAGTTGGGTCATGAAATGTCTGCAGGAAAATCAGCAAACTCAGAGAGCACCAAGGACCCCATTGTCATCCTTCTCCTCCCTTCTAGCACTGATGATGTTACCTAGTTGGGTCATGAAACGTCTGCAGGAAAACCACCAAACTCAGAGAGCACCAAGGACCCCATTGTCGTCTTTCTCCTCCTCCTCCCTTCTAGCACTGATGATGTTACCTAGTTGGGTCATGAAATGTCCGCAAGGAAACCACCCAGCACAGAGAGCACCAGGGACCCCACAGTACTCCTCCTCCTCCTCCTCCTCCTCCCTTCTAGCACTGATGATGTTACCTAATTGGGTCCTGAAACGTCTGCAAGGAAACCACCCAGCTCAGAGAGCACCAGGGACCCCCACAGTTCAACCCTGGGCTAAAATATTCTCTTCTGTTGATACTCCCTTGCCCTCCAAAATGGAACCTGGGATATACAATATATCTATCCAAGAAAGACATCCCTAAAGGGGGCTCCGTGCCAACCTTGTCCGTCTTGTCCTCCGAGAAGGGATTCTGGGCAGGATCCTGGTCGATGCCCCCTCCGATGCTGAAGCCCAGGATGAGATTCTCGCCCTGGCGGAGTTTGTGGATTTCAACCCTTTGCTAAAAAGAGATAAGAAGAGCCAAATTTGAGCGCTCGCGTCTGACTCCGTCACGGCTCAAAACACAAGCAGTGCGGTCTTGAGTGCCACCGAGGGAGTCCCCGACTTACAACGGTTTGTTTAGTGACCGTTCATGGTTACAACGGCACTGAAAAAAGGGACTTACGGCCATTTTTCACACTTACGACCACTGCTTCATGTGATCGAAATTCAGATGCTTTGGCAACCGACTCATACTTATGACGGTCGCAATGTCCCGGGGTCATGTGATCCCCTTTTGAGACCTCCCGACAAGACAAGCCAATGGGGGGAAGCCGGTTTCACTTAACAACCGTGCAGTGGTTCACTTAACGACTGTGGCAAGAAAGGTCGTTAAATGAGGCAAAACCTGCTTCCTTAGCAACAGAATTTGGGGGCTTGATTGTGGTCGTAAGTCAAAGACTCCCTGTATACGTAGTCCTCAAGTAACAGCCATTAATGAAGCCCACCCATCACCATCGTAAAACCGACTTCAATTCTGGCCCTAATTGTGATGGTTTAAGTTGAGGACTATATACATTTTATACATAAATTTAAAAAATAAACAAAAATAAAAACATATTCTATCCTGTAATTCTATTCTATTCTATTCTATTCTATTCTATTCTATTCTATTCT